TTTTGTTTTTTTTTGCAATGGTCTCCCTTTCATACAGTAGTTTCCCTTACTAGTTTCCTTTTGAGCTGTTTTTCTGACTTTTTATAAGTTTATAAATATATTTTATTATAACAGCTTCCCCAACCTTGAAAATCACTAAGCGCTTGAAATTGTTGGGAAAGTGCTTGAATTTCACTCTTTAAGCTCTCTGAAGCCTATCGGTTGGATGGGTTTGTATGTGTTATGTGGGCGGAGCTGTGCTCTCTCACTAATACATACGGTTTTGTCTTAGGCAACAAAGGTCTCAATGTCTGTGTGGTACTGAAGGCCAGTTGAGCATGTCCTCAGCGTAACCCTGCTCATCTGAGTAAGTCTGCTTTCAATCAGACAGGGACATTTATTATGACATGATCCAAATTAGCAGAACTTTATCAGGTTCATTTACAGTATATTGAGGCACATGAGGCATGTAATTTAGCAATAAAAAGGCTAATAATGAAGGGATGATTTTTAATAAATTTTTCTATTTTTATTTGGTCCCACAACCTTTATTTATGAAATGTAAATATGACCTCTGTTTTTTTTTTTTTTTTTTTCTCAATAAGCACAAGTTTTGTATTTCTTTTTGGAACTGACTGGTCTGTTTTTGAGTGAAAAATATATTTTTTTGTGGATAATTTTGCCAACATTCACTCAAAAACTGTGCTAAATTAAAGAAAACAAATTTATAAAGAGCTGAATCCAATATTTGGTAATAATATGGCATAACAAGAAATATATATATATATATACAGTATATATATTATTTTTATTTATTAATTTTTTTGGAGGCCAGTCATTTTTCTTAGTTAAATGCAGAGGATAAATTCTGAATTTGGGTTACCAGACTTGGCCTTCATGTCACTTAACTTCATTACATCCTGTGAAGTCTAAAATGTATGCTGTTATTTTATGACTCTTTTATGATTTTAATTGATAATCATCCCATTCAAGCCTCCTTCAACGTTACAGCTCCCACCAAATGTTGCAATTTGTTGTTGAAATGTATCAATTGCAAAAGGAAAATAGTGTGAATTATGAGTTCTGTTAACAACCCAAAATTGGTACTTCTTCCTACCTGAAACTGAAAATCATCCTAAAAAACAATTCAAGCCGGTTTCCTCCAATGGTGCAGTTTGTTGTTTCAATGCAAATAAAAAGAACAACTGTGTTAATTATGAGTTCTACTAACAACCTAAAAATAGGTCGTTTTTCTTACCTGAAACTGAAAATCATCCCAAAGATTTAGGCTGATTTCCACTTCAAATTCAAATGTTGCAGTTTGATGTTTCAATACAAAAAACAAACAAACAGTGTTAATCATGAGTTCTATTAACAACCTACAATTGGTTTTTCTTCCTAGTTTATCTTACCTAAAATTGGAAATCATGCGAGCCGATTTCCACCTTTATTCAAATGTTGCAGTTTGTTGATTCAATAATAATAATAAAAAAACAATAGTGTTAATTAGTACTAACAACCCAAAATTGGTTCTTCTTCCTACCTTAAAAATGAAAATCATCCCAAGAAATATTCAGGCCGATTTCCTCCAATGTTGCAGTTTGTTGTTCAATACAAACAAGAACAATAGTGTTAAGTATAAGTTCTGTTAACAACCTAAAAATAGGTCGTTTTTCTTACCTGAAATGGAAAATCATCCCATGAAAGATTCAGAACAGTTTCCTCCAATGGTGCAGTTTGTACAAATAAAAAGAACAACTGTGTTAATTATGAGTTCTACTAACAATCAAAAGGTAGGTAGTTTTTCTTACCTGGAAATTGAAAATCATCCCATGAAAGATTCAGGCCGATTTCCAGCCTCCACATTCATGCAAAGGTCACGTTTTTTTTTTAAACACACACAAAAAAAAATATTGTTAATTTTGAATCATATTAAAGTTTACAGCCTACAAACATTTCAAAATCATCATTGCTGGTTTTATTACGTCTACAACATACAACAGTTTCTAACATTAAAAAAATTAAAGTGCATTTTCACAATATCTCACCTTGTTGGCACAAACTTTCATATCTTATATGTAAGATGTGGATTTTCCTCATGATGTTTCTGTGGCTACAAGACATATGGAGTGGGCAAAAAAACAGATTTCTTTTTCTGCTAACGATACCAGATACGACAGTAGACACTGAGGATATTTAATGGGGCAAAGATATATTTCTGTTGAAATGTGTTCCTCAAAAGAGCCAGCAGATGGCAATGTTAACCGTGTGGTGTCAGAAAGAGCAGAGTATAATAAATCTTACATCACTTAGTACACACAGATAGCACTGTGCCAGATGTACACTTTTTTTTGCTTTTTTTTTTACAAATGTCCACTGAACATCTTAGCAAAACATTAAACTTTTAATGTAACGTGATCATTTTAAATCATTTTATTTAAATTATTATATAATTTAGCAATTAAAATGTGATTCTTTCTCATACAAACCTATCATGCCTTTAAAAGACTAGAAATATAGCACACAGGTTTTATGGAATACCTTAATGATGACCTTTATGGTCATTTTGGAGCTCAGCGGAGCTACATATCCTTTAACTTTCATTTAATGAGAAAGCATAACCAGTACAAAAAAAGCAATAGTCATAAGGTTTTGGAATGACATGATGCATAATAAATGATAACTTTTTATTTTGGGGTAAAATATTTCTTTCTTTCTTTCTTTTAAGATATGATAATTGAGAGCGATGGAGAAGAAATGTGATTGAGACACATGCACCTGACAAAAAAAAAAGAGATAGTAAGACTATAGCTTAAAACACACACACACAAATTAAGAACAATATTAATTGTTTAACATTCTTTTTTTAAAGGCAATCCATAACTTCAAACATTCATTCACAGAAAGCTATGCATTTTGCAGGTTTACTTTAATATTAAGGGGGCGGGGGGGATTTACTCACCCAGGCCATCCTAAGAAACTTGTAAGAAACAAATCAATCAATAAGGTCTTTTAACTTGTTTAAAGGGGTCATATGATGCAATTTCATTTTTTCCTTTCTCTTTGGAGTGTTACAAGCTCTTGGTGCATAAAGAAGATCTGTAAAGTTGCAAAGACTAAAGTCTCAAATCCAAAGAGATATTCTTTATAAAAGTTAAGAGTCAGCCACACCTACCTAAAACGGCTCGTTCTAACACGCCCCCACATATCTACCTCACTATGTCGGAAGATTTGCATAACGCCGCCCAAATGTTCACGCAAAGAAAGAAGGCGTAACTTTTATTCTCACTGTAGTTTTGTTGTTGCCGCTGCAGCCATGTCGTGAAGGTGCTGTGTGCTTCGTTGTAAAAGCGAAACTACTTTGTTTGGTCTTCCAAAAGAGGACGATATCTGCTTCGTCATGCCTAGAGCTGATCTGTGCTGGTCGCTGAGGAAATACATCAACTTAGTGCTGTGGATCACCGGATCGGCTTTCACCGTTTTCACCGCTCCTTCGTCGGATCCGCCGGGACCGCCGTTCTCGATCCCGCCGCCTCAGCTCACTCTTGCCCGGCCTCAGTTCACGCTAAGCCGGGGGTTTCTCTCATGCTAGGCCGCTGTGTTTTTCGTTGTGAAAGCGAAATTACTTTGTATGGCCTTCCAGAAGAGGACGATATCCGCTTCATCATGCCTAGAGCTGATGGAAAATAATGTGTTTTTTTAACTTGAAACCGCATAAACACATTTCATTACACCAAATACACAAAATAATGTTCTTTTTAGCAGCATCAAATGACCCCTT